ACACTTACACAAAATAAAGTATTGTTCATCCACAAACTCTGACACAAAATGATCACAAATTCAATACTTCTGTTGCTGTTACTGAAGTTTTAATTTTCTCACTAGACATCGATAGTTGTGTGTCTCATTCCTGTGAGAATGGAGCCACTTGTGTTGATCTGACCAATGGCTACAGATGTAACTGTGCTCCAGGCTATGAAGGAATCTTCTGCCAAGATTGTAAGTATTTGACTTGAGCAAAAGTTAATTGGCATTCGGCTAAAGCTGCCAGTTTTCTTACCATACTTATAAATTTTGATATAAATGAGTGACTCCTTTTGAACTTGACATTTTTTCTCAAATTGAAAGTTTTTAAAGATTGCTCGTAAAGACACATTTGGTGACCGCCATTCCTAAGTCGAATATTCTTTAAATTATAATTTGTCTTTTCCAGTGATCTTGGAGTGTACTAGCAATCCTTGTATTAACGGAGCTACCTGTGTGGACCTAGTGGCTGACTACCGCTGTGATTGTGCTCCTGGTTTCACCGGCAAAGACTGTGAAATAGGTAACTCTCTCTTTTGTGTATAAATTCACAACAATCCATGATTAACATTTTAATAGTTCAGGTGGCAATGTCGTATACCTCATGCGGTTTCTTCTTTTTAATGTGTAGTTGAGAAAATATATTAAAATACTCTTTTCTCACATAGTAAAGACTCTTGCAGTTGAATCTTTGTTGATGATCCCTGAGTTCCTCTTCCTTTTGCGACTTATACACTCGTACCCAAATGCTTCGAAAAGTTTTCTCTCTGTTTTCAGCGAGGGGAAGAACAATATGTGAAGACAAGTCCACCCAACTTCTAGAAAACTTGTGTTGTGTGGGCTTCTACTGTTCTCAGTTGCTCACAAGGAAGCATGATCATGTACCTAGTATGATTTCACTGGCATATTGTTGTTTGGTATCCACAGACATTGATGAGTGTGCTAGCTCACCCTGCTTGAATGGAGCATTTTGCACGGATCTAATTGACGGGTTCCAATGCGAGTGTTCGACGGGTTACACAGGACCCTTGTGTGGCACAGGTTTGTAGATGATGTAAAAATCGAAATAAAGTGAATTTCAAACTTGTAGTTATTTGGTATTTCTTTTGATAGTCTTGCTCCCAGATTTGAACTGATTTTTTTCTCTTTTGCAGATGTTCTTGAGTGCGTTAGTTCACCTTGTATGAATGGAGCAACTTGTCTTGAGATGGTCAATGGATACCAGTGTCAATGTGCTGTTGGATTCACAGGAACTCATTGTGAAACAGGTATTCAGATTACCACAATTGTGCACAACGTAAATGGTTGCCCACTCAAATTGTTTTGTAACCTAAATTTATACTGTGAATGGTGAATAACCTAAAATGTTTATTTTTGTTGTCAGACATTGACGGCTGTTTGTCTCATTCCTGTGAGAATGGAGCCACTTGTGTTGATCTAACCAATGGCTACAGATGTGACTGTGCCCCAGGCTACCAAGGAATCTTCTGCCAAGATAGTAAGTATTTGAAGCATAGAATACTTTTTGACTGTTAGTTGTGGGTCTTACTCAAACCTCCTTTCTGTTGCGTGGTTTAGGATCAAATTTGGATTGCTTGAAATTGGCATATTTCGTAAACAAAACGATTAAGGAAATTTTTGAAATTGTTTATTTTTCACTGATCCTTAATGTAAGAAGGACTCTTCAAGTATTTAAACTTGGCCATTCACAACCAAAATGGTTTATGCCATTGTAATTATCGTTCTGTGTTTGCCTCCAGTGATCTTGGAGTGTGCCAGCAATCCTTGTATTAACGGAGGTACCTGTGTGGACCTAGTGGCTGATTATCGCTGTGACTGTGTTCCAGGGTACACCGGCAAAGACTGTGAAACAGGTTAGGTCTGCTTGAAGCCATATGGCAAAAGAATTTGTGGGACAAAACCTGAAGTAGTTGCCAACCAGTGGTGGTTTGTTAAAATATTGTCTACTGCTCTGTATGATTGACTGTTTTTTTTTACTTTTTTGTGTAGATATCAATGAGTGTGATACTCTTCCTTGTTTGAATGGCGCAACCTGCCTGGATCTAGTCAACAGTTTCCAGTGTATGTGTCCAATGGGATACACAGGGACCTTGTGTGGCACAGGTGAGTCCATGAAACAAATACCAAGATGGGGTTGGACCTCACAGCAGTGTTTGTTTGCTTTGTCTTTGAAATTTGTGGACTTGACAATTAACAAGTAATTGTTGTCTCTTTTAGATGTCATCGAATGCGGTAGCTTCCCCTGTATGAATGGAGCAACTTGTCTTGAGATGGTGAATGGATACCAGTGCCAGTGTTCTGCTGGATTCACGGGAGAAAGTTGTCAAACAGGTAATGGAATTATGAATCCATCACAGCTTGTACTTATATCTGCTAGCTATCATTTGTGTTAGCCTCTGTCAAAAGCTTCCATGATGTATGACTTCCATGTATTAATATTTTTTGTCAGACATCGATAGCTGTGTGTCTCATGCCTGTGAGAATGGAGCATCTTGTGTTGATCTGACCAATGGCTACAGGTGTAACTGTGCTCCGGGCTACGAAGGAATTTTCTGCCAAGATAGTAAGTCTGTCTGTTTCCCCGTAGAATATTTGTTCATGTCAAGATACGATGCTTGCTCCTGTTACATGACTTTTCTAATATGCACTTCACTTTTCAATTAACATTTCCCAACCCGATTTAAACGAAGTAGTTTTTGTCAGCTTGCATGAAGTGGGAAGACAAATTTTCTGAATTATGTGATAATCCTCTGAATTTTCCAGTGATCACGGAGTGTGCCAGCAATCCTTGTATTAATGGAGGTACCTGTGTGGACCTAGTGGCTGACTACCGCTGTGATTGTGTTCCTGGATTCACCGGCAAAGACTGTGAAATAGGTAACTCTCTCTTTTGTGTATAAATTCACAACAATCCATGATTAACATTTTAATAGTTCAGGTGGCAATGTCGTATACCTCATGCGGTTTCTTCTTTTTAATGTGTAGTTGAGAAAATGTATTAAAATACTCTTTTCTCCCGTAGTAAAGACTCTTGCAGTTGAATCTTTGTTGATGATCCCTGAGTTCCTCTTCCTTTTGCGACTTATACACTCGTACCCAAATGCTTCGAAAAGTTTTCTCTCTGTTTTCAGCTAGGGGAAGAACAATATGTAAAGACAAGTCCACCCAACTTCTAGAAAACTTGTGTTGTGTGGGCTTCTACTGTTCTCAGTTGATCACAAGGAAGCATGATG